TGAGCTGACAGTTAGCGCACATGTTTATATATATTTGAACTTCTTCTCCTGTAATATTAGCGAATTTAGTATCCAATTCTTTCATAACAATATTCCTGCCAGCGTGGCCTCTTAACCGATGGATAGAATGGATTTCATCATAAACTTCATCGACAGAAACAAATCTGAGGCTAGTTCCTTTTTTAAATAACTTTCGTACATGGATATCATTCACAGAAATGGTTAATACAGTATATTTCTTAAGAATACGATAATCTTTACGATATTTCTTTATGTGAGGGTTCTCTTGAAGAAAATCTATGCGGCTTATGATTTCAGCGTATTTTTCCCTAGTTAGACTAACAGTATTATAGTTTTTATTTCGCTTTTCTGCAATAGCTTTGTAAAATGCTTCGCGATGCTCCATCTATAAAAGCGATATGAAAAGAAGCAATATAATTTGTAATTGATCAAAAAAGTGAAAGTGAATCTACGTAGTTAAGGTTATATTAGCATATATAGGCAAGGTGAAAATAGGATCAAAACTTTTAATTACTTCTGCTATAAAGAAATTGAAAATAAAAGTGCTTCAAAATGTCACAACAATATATACTCAAATGATTTGGCGCGATTATAAAGCCGATGACCAATCAACATAAAGTTTTAATAATTGTTGCGGGCTTTCTAATAAATTCTTTACAAAGGCGCGCTTTGACCGGAACAATAAGTGAAAGTGCGCAAATATTTTGGGTAATGCTCGCTTTTACCAGAATAATAGGTGAAAGTGCGCATTATTTCATGTAATGCGCGCTTTGGCCATAATATTGGCGAAGGCGCGCTTTATCTGCAGAAAGCGCGCATTAACCAATATGTTGGAGAAAGTGCACATTTCCAGTTAAAGCGCGCATTTACCATGATTATGGAGAATGCGCGCACCTTACGTCGAAGGCGCGCATTCGCCTAATGCTCACTTTTACCGTAACATCGATATTATACATATTGCAATTGTTACTTACATTTCGTAATATCGATTATT